CTAAGCTCCAGCCGCCTCTCGCGTTCCTCGGCCATTTTCCTCCGTCTCATCTCCTGTTCCTTATGCCGAGCTGCGAAACAAGGCAATCAACCCTTATCGCGCGTCGAAGACTCAAAGGAGTTCGAGCAAGTTTCGCGGAAAGTTATCGCCATACTCTTTTGCTCCTCCTCCTTTCTCTGGATCCACTGACGAAGGTACAGGGCCTTCGCAACGGCTGCCTTATCCTCGATCTCCTTCAAACGTCTCTGCAATTCCAATTCGTTCTCGAGGATCGCTTTCCTCTCGACCTCCTGCTGTCTCTTCTTCTCCATCCACTTGAGAAAGTTTTCCTTTTCCAGCCGCGCCTTCGCCTTCTTTTCTTGCGCCATCCTTTCTTCCTCCTCTTGTCGTTTTTTCGCCGTGCGTTCCTCCTCTTCTTTCCTGCGTTGCGTTTCCTCGTCCTTTCTACGAATCCATTCCGAATGACCGATTCTCTTGCCAAGATCGGCGTTCGACGCCTGATAGTCCGAGCTCGGACCAGTCGAGAGCGATGTCATGGAAATTCGCACGACTTGGTGATTGTCTGGACGATTTTCGCGATATCTGCAATATGTTACCATTTTTGTCGCATATATATATATGTTACAATTTTTGTCGCATATATATATGTCGCAATTAAATTCTTAACCCCTTCAGTGTGAAGGTTTGCTCATCAAAATGGACAAAAAATATACCGGATAAATTGTTTCGCGAATTTGCAAAATAATATTGCAAAATAATATTGCATATCATAGTTTTCGAGGATACCAAATAAAAATTCATTAAATTTTCAAAATTTAAAATGGCAGATACAATATAGCAAACAAAAAGACAGAAATAAAAGTATGGAAAATAAAAAGATGAAATTATTATAATTTATAATTATATTTTAAAATTTTGAAGGACGTTGAATAAGAATTTTTAAAATTGAAAATAATATGGAATATGGCGGACGAAAAAATAAAAATATGTAAAGAAGTAAAAATCAGCATTGACATATTATTGCGTTCACAATTAGCTGATGAAATAATTTTATAAAATGTTTTATGACCCCAGAGTATGTCATGAAGAAGATGTGGAACTTTGCGCTCCTTTTTTTTTTAAGCATTTAATATTTTTAACTTTTTTTAAACATTTTTTTTTAATTTTTCTTTGTCAAAATTTTAATTTTTTTAATAATTTGGTATTTTTTTAAATTTTATAATTTGTTAAAATTCATACTTTAATTGGTTTTTATAGTATGATAATCTTTAAAAATATACAATTTTGTTTATATTCACGTGAACCACGTTAAGAGTTCACATTCTTCAGGATGATATATGATATATGCGTCATCCACTCTGAAGGAATTTAATATAAAGATCATGCAAAATAACACGAAAGTCGAACTTGTCTCGTTTTATTGGTTCATTCTCGGCGTTCGAAACGCTATCGATCTTGCATCGTCTTTCCACTTTTGCGGTTCTCGCAGATGATTGATCCACAATTGACCGAACGGTGAACGGTTCGGAAAACAATGTAGTATCTGATAAGGATGTCGAGTAACACCTATAAGTGCTTCGTCCTGTGCCGTCCTGTACCGGATGTTCGATCGCATGATCAACGCTTGTTGCATCCTTGATAGATGATACATTGATTGTCGAAGATTCGGAATTATCATGATGATTCGCGTTGATTATGTATCTATTATAATAATCTGTGAAGAAATAAATTTTGCGAAGTATTAATAGCACGATTCATATAACAAAATTATATTTAAAATATATATTTTTTTTATCAATTATAAATTATGTTATTTAAAATAAGTGTGCGTTTCAAATCAGATTTTAATTTTACTAATTACGATTGTACTAATTTATTTTATTATATCTATTTAATCTAAATAGAAATTTATTTAATTTATTCTTTTTTTAAATTTTCAAGTTGATATATATGAAAAAAATTATATTAAATAAAAATTATTCAAAATTAAAATATTTTTTCTTCTTGCATTTCTTTAAATTTAATAAATTTAAAAATTAGTAGTATTAAAAAAAGCGCATAACGCTATAATTAGTAGTATTAAAAAAAACGCTATAACGCTATAATGTGTTAAATTAAATAAAGATGTGTTAAATTAAATAAAGAAAAATTATCCGACAATTTTTAAATTATTTTTTATTGCTAATTTTGTATATTAGATATACTATGTATGAAAATGAATTTCTTTCAATTCTAATCTATGTATGTTTTACAGCTATATATTTTCCTGCTCACGATCGTTCTCGGTTCTGTGAATCTGCGTCACATTATGTTCCTTTTCACCAACAGACTCCGTGTAAATGGCAGGGTTGATATACCGAATCTCGGGACCGGAATTCGATTTTTTCGCTACATCTTCGCGAATTTCATCGTAATTTGCGCAATGATGGATGAGAGCAATTTTCTTTTCGGATTCATCAGATTCCGTCTTCCAACTGTCAGTGTCACTGTCATTGATCATTGTTGTACGTTTTTTCACCGTAACTGATTGATATTGACAATCAGTTATTGCATTTGACATGATGCACAAATCATTGTAATGATTCGTCGCACGTTTCATTAATGTAAATATTTTTACAAAAGTACTATTACATTCAAATAATCATTTACGTACAACGTAATTCACCCATGATAAATTCGATGTTGTATTTTTTGAAGAACAATAGCGAATAGGGAATCCTTTAAGGGGCGTATTCAAGGTGTGTGTTTAGAGAGATGTCATTGAAGTTTGATATAAATACTTCTCTTCGCATATTAATGAATATTAACATAAGTAGCTTTCTAAAATTTTATTTAAAAATGTATTTTATTTTAACATATATAGTCCGAGATTATATTGTCTGGTCTCATCTTTTAATCAAGTATTTCAAATAGTGAATTATAATTATATAACGCGTAAAAATTAATATAAAGTTTCAATAAATTTTTCCTTAATGATGGAATGTAGGTTTCTAAATAAAGGAATTAAAGTCAGATAAAATGATAGTAAATAACAAGTGTCAAAAGTTTAATTTAAAAATGTTTTCATATTTTCTGCAATTTATTTTTTAAAATATTTTAGCATGTTCTGCTCTTGTATTAATGGCATCCATCGAGATCAATAGTTTTCCATCTTTACTTTGTAATTAATATTATACAATTTATACATACTTCTATTCATCCTGCTTAGAATTATATCTTATATAAATATTCATATTATTGTACTTTCGATAAATTAAGATTAACAAAATCATATTATATGATGATTTTGGTGAAATTTATGTATGATCCATGATGAATTCTTTGGAAATGATATCTTGCTACTTTGTTTTTGTACAAGTTTTCTCCTTTAACTCCCAACAAGATTCCCAAAACTGTTTCAGTCTATTGTCTCCATTAGAACAGAAATGTCGAAAATCTTGTATGATTTTCTTTTGAAATAATTCGTCGCCCGTTGAAGTGGACAACGACTTCCATTTTCGACTGACCATATAATTCCACGACCACAAAAAACCCATCTGCAATCAATAAGCAACATGATGCCAAATTTTTTCGAAGGAAATAATATAATTGAAACATTTTGCATCATAATGTGCGAATGAACATACTCATAAAATATTTTTATTTATTTGTAAAGATTCTTATTCAAGATTACTCACTTTTCGATCCATATTATGATCATCCTTACTCTTTCCACTAACGTGTCTGGTAATATACGCTTCATGCGGACTTGGCTGGTCCGAATGAACTGGGTATCTCTTCTGTCCCATATTTCGCCGTACAATATTGGTACCGGTTCGTGGACGCGGCCGAGTACTTGCAGTGGATGGCACTAATATAAACGCATTGCCCGTGATGTGAACATACTGACGATCACTTTCAGTGTTTTCAACTAAACACGGCACAAAGCCGAATCGCTGCAGAATCGCTTCTTGAAGTAGAATCAGCCTTTGTGCGTATGTATCTTCTCGGAATTCTATATAAACGCATTTTCCTTATTGTTATTAAATTAGACATTTAAAATAAGAATTTATACTAATTGGAGATTAATTGGAACAAACCTTCAAAAAGGTATCGTTTATTCGCTATCAAGCATTCCGTGTCGAGTGGTATAAAAATAGGCCCTCTGAGAGGATCGCTCTTCAAGGTATATGGTAACGCTAGCAAATCACTAGGAATGGGCACCATCTGTATCCCGCACATTTGAGCCTTGCGTTGCCAAAGAAATATCTTGTAAAAAGAAATATTATTAGTATGTAATTCAATATATGCCTCGTCGAGGAAAGGAAACAGCAAACTTTTATTTACCAAATCAGCTACTATACTGCCGGACGATGCTACCCATTCTACTACGAGTTCGTAGGAATGATCTACCTTGTAAATGGATTGATACCTTAGGTGGCCCCATTCAATTCTGTCACTTTTATTATTGATATCGATATCAAGATGAGTATGTTTATACAGCGGCACTGAAAAAAACAAATATATTACAGAACGATCAGTTTTACTGTCCATGTAAATATCTTAATTGGATTGATTCTATCGTTTTACGGTTGCGCTAGATCTAATCTAAGATTATTCATTCAAAAGATTGTTATTCAAGCTGAAAACGTGTATAAATCAATGTGCTATGTGGTATTCTCACCTGTCCAATTTCTATCATCTATTGATTCCGTCAAATTGATGTCATCTCTCAGAAAAGGCGGAACATCGGATTCGTCAATGGTGTCGGAATTGGGTATAGTTATGGGAGATGACATTGTCGACGATGTTGTCGAAGATGTTGGTTCACACCATCCTTTCGGTGATCTCATTTCCACTTCCACCCATTCATTCTCGAAACCTTGTAGATCACCGAGGGGAGCGGAATAATCTACAGCTGTAAATGAAAAATACAAAGTTAAACTTCACGTAAAAAGGCTGATGATGCGCTGATTGTTACTTGCCTTTTTGATTTTCTTTATCTTGCACAATGTGGTACAAGTAAAATCCTAAGACGAATGGTTGCGAGAAATCGCCGGACGCGTGACATATCAATTTTTCTTGAATCATCCTCTGCATAAAGATAAATTATTAATTAATCTTATCAAAATAATGCTTTAATTAAATCTTTTTTTGTTTAAATGCAAACATATATGAAAAAATATTTTTAAAGAAATAATTTTATTGTTTTATGAATAGAATCCTGCATGCAAAGAAAGTAACATTTCTTGATATAAGAAAGTAAATCTCTTTCTTTTTTCTGATCTCTTAAATCAGAAATTAAGAGTCATAACACTATTGAATTTTGCAGATTATATTGAATAGATGAAAAAAATTTCTGAGTCTACCTGCATGATATCGATACCCCGCTCGACTCCTACGCCGCCTTCCATATGATTATTTAACCATTGAATCGCATCGGCGCTAACAAACGTTTGACTCGGGAGTGAGGGGTGCTGCGTCAAGAAACCGACCCCAGTTTGAGGATGTTTCATGACCTCCAAAATTTCCAAGTTTGTTGCATTGCTTTTTATCTTGGTCAATTCCAGGTTCGTGCTAGGAAACAAATAGGTGCACTCATTAAATATATGAGTTTATAGCATTAGAATAGTCGAAGCATGTGTCCAGAAAATTGCTTATCTTTGTATGAGATTGATGATTCAGATGAATAATGATCATTAAGATATTTAGATATTATTATTTAACGCGACTTTAACACCGATTCATGATTAGCATATTGAACGTATCTTGTATATCATGAATAAGAATTCAGTTAGAAAAAAGAAAAAATTTTATACCTAGAAAATTAATAAATTCGAATGTTATTTATCATGATATATCTTTCGATTACCTATCATCATTAGTGTCGAAATGATCCTGTTGCTGTTGTTCCAGCGACAACGGCAGTACAGCTTCACTGGCTGGCGATACTCGTCCTCTGTCCATTACTTTAGAACCGGATCTGAATCATCCATAAAAGAAAGAATTTATTTAAATGCTCGCATTATCACAGAAAGGAAAAGCGGTATTTACGAAGCGAATTTTATTATCGATGTCTAAGACAAGCGAACATATATTCTTTTTTTCCACGCACCTTATGTTATTTTGTAGCACATTTGATAAAGATTTTGATGAAAACACAATACCGCGTTTGTCTTTCGCAAAGTGATGTTATTCTATTTTAGTTCATTTTTTAGAAACAAATTTTACAAATTGTTTTTACAAAATTATCAAAGACAAGAGATACACAAAGATACACCCGTTTCACCGAGTGTTTTTTCAGTCACAGAGAAACATAATTTAACATTTTGTGAAAAATCAAAGAAAGAGAAAATAAAAGAAAAGTAGCTTATAAATTTTTATGGCAATTTTTAATTTTTTTTAAGATTTTTAATATTTAAATTTTAATAAACTTTTAATAAACTTTAATAAATTTAAATTTTAATAAACGAAAGCATATGATTTTTTTATTCTATGTGCGTTAGATATTATTCGTAATCATTTATGTATATAATACGTGACTAAAAGAATACTCAATAAAATAAGACCGAGGAAGATTATTCATATATACATATAAAAAAATGTTTCAAGATCTCTGGATGTCTTTTTAATAGCAAATTTTCTGGTCAATTTCTGGAGTTAATTTTTTCTTAGCGAAAATAGATCATTTTTTGCAATTTTTCAATTTTCCCATCATATTTTGACAAGTTTCAAATTAAAATTTTTTCAGATATATAAACTCCATCTAAAATTAATTTTAAAAATATATTTCTATCGCTCTTTTAATTCTACAAACTATAGTTTGCGAAAAGCCTCTTTTCCATTGTTTGTAATTCAAACAAACTATAAATGCCTCGATATTTTCGCTACAAAAAATCACCCTTAAATCGACCGATAGGATTTATATGTAAAAGGAAATTTTATGGTTTTGAGAAGAACTCTCCGTAGATCTATATACATATATTTTCGCGAAAAGTAGCTTTTAATCTGAATCGAAAGGAATAAGAGAGAGTGACAACCAACCTGTTTGGCACGTGGCGAGGAGTGTCGAGGCACGTGCGAGCAGCCGCAGCGGTATTCACTACATGCCTCTCCTGTACAGAGGAGAGTATAAAACCCCGTCACTCCCTCACTCACTACCAAAATTTTCTACAAGGCACGGAGCATAGGTACACACATACACACACGTACACGCACACACATGCGCCGTTAAATTTTATTTTTGCATCTTGAAGAAAACGTAGCTCTTTGCTTGGGCGTATTTGGCTGTACGTATGCTCCAGCCAGGCATATCGGGAAATGAACGAAAAAGATGAAAGAAGCTGAAAGATATAGAAACTATATATGCTACATAAAATTCTCGTCGATGCTTTTTCATTCTCCTTCTAATGCTAATCTTGCTGCTCCATATCCAAAAGATATATATCGCAACAAGTGATAATTCAATCGAATGATGTTGTTAAAAGATGAGTAAAAAGTGCGAAGGAAGAATAATTTGTT